TATCAATATTCGGCATGTATCAAACAACGTTGAAATTTTCTACATTTGATTTTTCTGATAGTTAGTAATCAAGACACTATTAATGAGACTCATATAACTTCTCGCCAGAATATTGGTTCAATTGCACTGCAAATTACAAGACTTATTTATTATAGTGATCTAATATCATTAGTGACAATGATAATGAAAATGTGAAACTTGGAGGTACTCACATATTCACGCAAGACTAGCAAGAAAAATTAAAGATTATTCATCGCTTTCTCTATTGTGAGGATTATATATTACACAGGGAAAGAAGTTAATGTAAACGTTACAATCGGTATACAAGTATTTTAAAGAAAAAATAAATTATATTACATATCTGAATGAGGTATAAAGGTATCGTCCGACCAAAACTATAGAATCTACAAAAGGAAAATCGTATATGAAAGCTGTTCTATTTTTCGGATTATTTATGGGTAATAAATAATGTCGATCAAAATAAATTTATTGGCTACAAGAAACATCGGAGGAACATTAATAACGCACATTTTTTTTTTATTTAGTGGTTAATTTTTGTAAGCGAGGGAGCAGCATTAAATTTATCAGCTCGAATTCTACATGAATGAGACAAATGTCGGACTCGAGAATTCCTTATATTCATTCTAATTAATATATATATGATATATATATATTTATTTCATATTTCCATTATCATAACGAATGATATAAAATTAATGAATAATACCTTAAACAAATCCACTTTTCTTACAAATTGTAAATGAAAATTATTATTGTTTACGCCATTCATTCTAAAGATGGACGCCGTAATTTGTACTAATTAATTTTTTGATTGACACGAGAATTAAGTCATTTGTGACGACGGAGGTCACAAGCATAGCTTTGTGTTACAAGTTCGATTATGTAAATCGAAACTTACGATACATAATATACTTGACTCAAATTGATGTTTTTTAAATCTTTGATGTTTCTTCAAATAATATTTGAAGAATTGTCTCTTTCATGCGACTCTTTTCTTTCCAAAAAAAAAAAACTCTTTTAGTAGTTTTATAACAAAGAAAATTTATGAAGTCATTGCATATTAATTTTAATATCGCATGAATGTTTACCACGAGGAATTATTTGATATGCAGGCAGTTTACTCAATCGAAAAATAAAAAAAGCTCGTGGAAAACAGTTAAAAAGGATTAGGAGAAAATCAAAAATGAAATCAATGAAAAAATCTATTGAGATTGATAGACAATGCAAGTAACAAATAATTGATGAACTAAATAAAGATGAACCAATCAACACCTTTAATGCATAAAATATTCAATTTTACAAACATAATTCCTCTGAAATAAGCAATAATCGAAAGCAAATATAAAGAAAGAATTTTAATGCAATTCATTAAATTAAATCATTTTTGTGGAATCAAGGATACAAAGAAATTTTTAAATCCCAAAATCCTAAAAAATGGTCGATGGAACATTCCACCCATCTTTACTCGGTAAAAAATCATCTCAAAATTTTGAATGAATTTCTTAAAACAAAGCGGTGATTACAACGTTTTTTCATTGGAATTAGTGTCAAAATTTATATTAAAAATTTAATGAATTCTAACTTGGAAGTGATCGGCATAACCCTTTGGACGATCCGGGGTAATACTTTCCTTATTCTCTCATATCTTTTCCATATTAATACAATTTACATTACGTAGTTATCATTTATTATAATAATTTCACTTTCGTCGTCACTATAAATTATTTTATCAGTTTCTATAAACCATTCACCTTATTTCTTTTTTCAGTTTACTTTCCTCATAATCAAATTTTTTTTTTGAACCATTTTCTTTCTTTTTTATTTTAAAGAAAATACTTATAACTTTGTTTCAAGCTTTATTTATTAATAATATTACGCGCTTTAACATTTGCTTAATAAATAAAGAAATGGATTAAACAGGAATTTGACCGTTCTTAGGCTACGCATGTGGATGCTAATCATACAACATTAACAAATAATTACTTGCATTTCTTGTGAAACAAAAGTCAAAAACAAAGTCAACTCGTTAATGTCACCATATGAAGTAGAAATCAAACTTGATTTTATGAATGAAAATCACGACAAAAAAGCAAATCTTAATTAATCATTTTAAATCCTTTGTTAGAAATATTATAAAAAAAAATATTATATAATGAACTTGATTTTCACGAATTGTTTCATTTCTAACCTAATCCATTTCTCACCAAATAATATATCATGCCAGCCATACTATTTCCTGAAGAGTTTAGGCAATATCAAAATTCTTCAAGTAATCCTCCCACAAGTTTGATTGATCCATATAATCGTAATGAATTTTATATGGTAACCGATTCGTTGATTATACTGTTTGCATTGAGCTGTCTCGGGAATTTGGTCGTAATTTACAGAACATATAAACAATGGAAGTTTAATAAAAAAAGCTTGAAGATGGCTTATAAACTGCCGTTTTACACCTCTTTATCAGGTGAGCGTATAACCCAAACGTTCGAATTCTTGACTTCAACTTATGTATTTATTAATTGACGCGCTTCATTCCTTCCATTAATTAGGTTTCATCGAAAATGGATTATTTCTAATAAATATCGTAAGTATAGTTTAATTATTCATGCGTTTTTAACTTTTTGTTTTTTAAAAAAAAATTTCCATTAAAACTTCACGCCGTTTCTTTTCAATTAGGTACATACTTCCATGTATGCAAATGTCTTTGAGGAACCGGCATGCAAAATAATCAGCTTTGTACTTTGGGCCCTTATTACAATCAGTTTATCATTATATTCCATTATGGCGTAAGTTTGAATCATAATTTATTTGTTCTTTAATTTGAATGTGAACCCGAAAAAAAAAAATCTAAATATTTTCCCTTGTTCTTTTTTACTAGCGTGGCAACATACCTTCGAATTTGCCATAATTATGATACAATCTTACGTTTTGGTAAATACGATTATAGGCTTTGGTTTCATGTATTCTTGATATCTGTAATATTTCAACTGGTCAACATACGAAACCATGGTTCGCGTAAATATTGGTAAGTTTATTTATTCCATATGCGAAATTTAACTCGATCATTGTTACTTGACAAGGGTTAATTAAATTCCTTGCAGGTGTGCTGGAAAAGCCGGAAAATTCTCCTCGACCATATTCTTATTCGTATTAATAACATTATCGTTGATAGTAATCCTCTATTGCTATGTGAAAATACTAATGAAAATACAAACTAATAAAAATGAAAAACTAATTAAAAACGGCGAGTTTGAGAAGAAGGCTACTAAAAAAGTCGTCAGTTACTTGATCATATTTGTCCTGCAATGGGTTCTTATACAGGCTCAGAATTTAGGTAGATTATTCGGTGTAAGTTTTAGAAATAAAATTTTTTTTTTTACTTTTTACTTTTATTATTATTTTCTCAATTAAAGAAAAAAAAAAAATTTATTACATATTATTTATAGGTTGAACACCCTTGGATCTATATTTTAAAAGGTTGCGGTAGGTAAACTTAAACCTTTGATGTGAACGATATATTCGATAAACACTTCCACCTTTGATTAAATTTATTTATTTTTCTTCATAGGACATGCATTAGGTGCGATCGGTAACGTGGTTCAATTAATTATAAATGAAGGCTGGGACCCTAACAAAACAAATGTTACTAAAGACGATCAATCAAATAATGTAACTTTCGAGAAAGGACATTCGAGCTTAAATAATTTAGATACGAATATTGGTCGAGTCTAAACTTTGCCAAAGTATCGAAATTATCATTTTTTTTTTTTTTTTTTTTTTTGTTGCTAGATCCCGATCGACAAAATATTTTTTTGTCGGGGGATCTCTCAATGAATTACTGTATTATTGTTTTAATATTAATCTCGTCAATATATACTGTAACATTCATGTAATAACCTAGAAATAATAATATCCGAAAGAGAAAATGATTCAACCTTAATTGAGACGATAATTTTCCCAAACGGTTGGACTTAATTTGTGTAACATGTATCTAATATTTTTTTTAATCTAATTTATATCACCAAACAAATAAACTAAATTTGGTGTATATGTTCATATTCCAAAGCTAAAAAAAAAATCACGAAAAAGAACAAAATATTTTAAATTTTAAATTTTCAAACAATGTATTATTATAAATCTGAAAGAGATTAATTTAACTATGCAATTACCCACAATAACGTTCCAACGCTATGATGTTAAAAAGAAAAGTTTAACATAATATATGGATTAAAATAATTTCGATTAAAACGAACATATACCTTAAATAAATTCGTTAACAATTTAGTCCTGGATCTATTAGAAAGTTCTCATTCTCGGAGGAGCATTCTATCGACGAAACATTTCTACTTTCAAATTTAATATGCTTTGCGAGACGCCATCCTTTAAAATTATCCCTTTGATTATAATTAAAAGTTTCTAACCATTTTAAAATTAATAGTTACCATCATTATCATTTTTATTGATTTTGTTCATACATATTTTATTTTAAAAAAATTACAATGTAATAAATAATATCTTGAAAGTCAAAACTCGATATAAAGTAGATAATGGGTAGGGTTTTAAAGGAACTTAAAAAAATTTGATGGAAACTAAAAGTCACGTAGATATGTACTTTTAAATAAAACCATTCCTAAAATTAGCGCAGAACCGCAGGATGCAAATAATTACATTCCGTCAATTTTCAAACCTAATTCTATCTGTCTTTTCTTGTATTATTTATTCTCAAGCGAAAGTGTTCTTAATAAACTGGTAATGAGATTATGGGATTAAATTTCATCCGGTGAGTTTCGGAATGTAGAAATAACCTCGTAAGACGCGGGATTGGCCTGAATTACAACGAAGCTTCGCCTAAGCAAGTATAAATAAAAATTGCCTCACTTGCGGAACACCTTGGGACATGGTTAGGATCTGGGAGTTTTCGGTATGTAAACATGACCTCGTTAGAACGCGGGATTAACCTTTTTACGCCGAAGCTTTGCCTAAGCAAGTACAAAACTCAATAAAACTTGCCTCACTTGAGGGGCCCTTAAGACATGGTTAGGATCTGGGAGTTTTCGGTATGTAAACATGACCTCGTTAGAACGCAGGATAACCTTTTTACGCCGAAGCTTCGCCTAAGCAAGTACAAAACTCAATAAAACTTGCCTCACTTGCGGAACACCTTGGGACATGGTTAGGATCTGGGAGTTTTCGGTATGTAAACATGACCTCGTTAGAA